CACCAAAAGGATTCTAGACAATGTCTCTAATTCCATCCCTTCTTTCCTGCCAATGCCAGGGCTCTAATAGCATTTTACTGCTCCAGTTGGCTGTACTTCCAATTTAACAGACACAACGCCAGGAGGGATAAAGTTTGCTCCATGTCATAGACTCATAGAATCATGGAGTTGGAAGAGACCCCCAAGGGCCATCCAGTCCATCCCCCTTGTGCCATAAAGGAAGACACCATCAAAGCTTTCCCTGTGACAGATGGCCATCCAGCCTCCTCCCAAGAAGGAGATTATACCACTCTCCAAGGAAGCAGCATACTCCACTATCAAACAGCTCTTACTGTCAGAAAGTTTTTCCCATGTTTACATGGAATCTCTTTTCCTGTACTGTAGTTAGAATCCAGTGCTCTATGTTCTAGTCTTTGGAGCAGCAGAAACCAAGCTTGCTCCATCCTCAATACGACATCTCTTCAAATATTTAAACATGGCTATTATGTCTCCTCTTAACCATCTCTTCTCCAGGCTAAACATCCCCAGCTCCCTAAGTCGCTCCTCATAGGGCTTGGTGGTTTCCAGACCTCTCACCATTTTGGTTGCCCTCCTCTGGACACACTCCAGTATCGTTGGACATTTGGATCACAATGCCAGTGCATTCCATTCTGCATCGTTTCAAATTGGGGTTGTTCCAGAAATTTGGGCATATCTTTAAGAAATCCTTCTCTCCTCATCTTGCCTCCTCAGTTCCAACTATGGGCCAAAGCTGACATTAACATACAGTTTTGCGCTCACGCAATCTCCTGCTACAAAACTCATTATCCCTGTTTTGGAGTTACAGCAGTTGTTTAGTATTCATGCACAGATGCTCCAGCAAATGCACATTATGTTTTGATGGTGCATTTTTGCATTAATGTTCCACACTGCAGTGTTCTGTCGGCATCCATTCCCTACATTTCTGTTATCTTTCAGTCCCATTTTGCTGACCTTGTCCCCCCCTCCCCAGTTCATCTTCTGTACCAGCTGCTTTCACAATCCATTTCATGGAGCTGGCTTTTATTTAGGTGCCACAGCTCTGATCAAAACAGAAACAGACAGTCTCCAAGTTTCCAAAAGATTCTCACTGCCTTTTTTGATGCAAAGGTTAACACAACCACTCTACTGTGAGCACACATGTGCATATACAGCTATTTTGCAATGGTTTATTTAGGGCACTTTTCCAGGAGACTCACAATGAGCAGAAGCCAATAGGACTGATTTCAAATCCTTGCACCATATTGAAATAGCTAAAGGTTTCTTTCCTACACTGACCCAAGGACTGTAGCATCATGCCGATCATCTGTCTTCAGGGTCTTTCTATTTGTACAATTCCATGAGGACTTCAGCAAAAGTTGGAAGAACCAAGGGCTCTTTTGGACTGACCAAAAGCCTCAGGATTTGGTAAGACTTGTAACTCTATCCATCAGGATTTTTCATACGATGGCCCACCTGTCCTGGTCTATTTCTCATGAATTTCCAGCATGAGGTATGACATTTTAAACCCAGGGGAAGGAGTTGGGTTTTTCCTCTGGATAAACTCCCATGAATCCCAGGTGCCGTAGGCTCCATTTCAGAGGAAGGAACCGGCAAAACCACCTCTGAGTCTTCCTTGCCTAAGAAAACCTCAAATTCATGGAGTCCCCATAGGTCAACTTGAAGGCATATACACACAGGTACACCAGCTCCCATGACTGTATCCGTTGTTTTATTTCCTCTGTGCTTGTGGAAGGTCCCACCGATGATATGTTAAATCAGGGGCCGGCAACCACACTTACCGGCCCAGGCGGACCCCTGCCGCCACCACCACCGCACACCACCGCCACCATGCTTTTTGCCCGCTGTACAGCTGCGCACATCGTGGCCGCCATTTTGATTTCCAAAATGGTGGCTGCGACTAGTTTGCGCATGCACAGTACTCCTGCGCATGTGCGCAGAGGCGGCCACAGCCGCGACATGTGCGGAGGTGGCTGCGGCCGCACACGGGGGGGGTCACGCGTGACGGCGGGGATGCGCGTGCGCACATGAGCGCGCGCACCGCCATTCCCCCCCCTCGGCCCGGCGGAGGGGAGGACTTCGGAGGACTGGCCCCTGGCTCAAAAAGGTTGCCTACCCCTGTGTTAAATGAAGGTGTGACCATTGCTACTGAGCTTTTCCTCTGATCTTCCTTCCCCCATTACATTAGCTGATTGATTATTTCTCCCCCATCACCACACATACTTGTTATCCCTGGAAAAATATTTTCCTCTTTAGAACTAGAACTAAAATAGTACACAAAGCAATGGATTCAAATGAGAAGAAAAGCAATTCTGCCTAAATGTTAGGAAGAACCTTTTTACTGTTAGAACAGTTTGACAGTGGAATACGTTGGAAGCCTTTAAACAGAGGTTGGAT